AGCATTATCACACAACTCATGTCAATTTAATACCGATGCACTCATGGCATCAGCAACACTTTACATCCATAAGTACAATTCATAAACCCATGCATACGTACGCCAGCCACGCTCACTGTGGTACTGTGATAACAGATTTACACCATGAATGGTCACCGGTTATCCCCGCCTCACGGATACCAAGTGGGCAGTCACGGGTCGCTTAGCAAAGGTAATGGTCAGAGGTCTAGTCAGGAAGAGAGTGTGTGGCCTGTGGTGCACCCGTTCCGTAGTCGGTGTCACCACCACTCTCTCCTCCCTAAGGTATTTCTACCGTCCTCATCTTCCACACCCCAGTGTATCGCTAAACAATTCACAACATATTATAACGACGCCACACGCCCCATTCACATACATTTCATTCACACACACAATAATTAGGCTCATAGACGTCACACAGCCCACATTGCATTCAAATACACGGCACTAGGCCCACATTCATTTCACATTACACAACACGTGGCCAACATTCATCTATATTACACGGCCCTCGGGCCCACATTTATTCACAATATTCATTCTATCATGCAACATCTAGAATACAATTCACATTCATCCATTTCAGGTAAACACACACAATATTCACATCTCACGGCACACGGCCCTCATCACAATTCTCAATCAACTTTCATTCTCTGCACATTTTCTACCTTCTAACTTAGCCACAACTCAACATTCAGCAAAATAACAACAATTCGTGCACAAAGAGTAGGATAGAGTCCCCCTTTACCTTAGATTGATGACCCACACTCGGATTCGACCACAGATGTGCTCCTTACACAGATTGCAGCCTAAACACATGGAAGAACTCCATGAGAACTCCAAGAAACCGAGGAACAGAGAAATGGGGATGAGAAATGGAACCCTAACTATTAAAAACTCACCTTCAAGCATTCTCCACACAAATTCAACCTTCAATCAAGCTCCCGAAGGGCTTCGGAGGCAATTAATCGGTGGAATAGGGCTTTGGGAATGAGGGGATCCAAGGAATTTCGAAGGGAGAGGGAGAAATAACTCTCCCTGAATCCTAACTCTCTTTAAATCCTTTTCTTGTCGCAACACTCTCGCTACAGCGAGATATTAGACCTCGCTGCAGCGACACGCCCTCACGCTGCTGCGAAAATCTCAGACGAAACTGCACTCTGGTTTCTGCAGAATCTCGCTACAGCGAGACTGCACCCAGAAATGCACCCCAAACTATCGCTCTGTTGCTATAGCGAGAAGGCGACAATTTCAGTCCTTCCTCCCAGGGCCCTCTCGCTACAGCGAGAACAGCCCAGTATCACACCCTGCACTTAGGCACTTAGCCCATTTCAACCCTATCCAGTCATGCATACACACAATACACACATCTATATACTTAATACACATAAACATCATTATTAATTAAATCAACACACACATATATATACATTTAGATTTATATAAATATAATAATTAATATTACAAAATTTGGGGCGTTACATATTCTATTTCTAATGCTTAATTCTATTTTAATCGATAATATTTTGATTTAGAATCCAATGATTAGATAGAAAGCAATCTTTAGTTCCAATTGAGTGAAACTCACTTAGTGTATTAATTTTTTTTTAATGACAGTTTCATTGAATAATTGAGGAATTGTTATTCAATAAATATTTTTAAAAACTTGTATGCTTTAGCTTTCTAACTACATTTTGGACAGAGGATGAGGAATTATGAGAAGAATTAGAATACAAGCCTAAGGAAGAGTCAGATGAGGATGACAATATGGAGGAGGACGAAGACCTTTATGGTAGCGATTGAGTTCCTAAAGGAGTGACGCTTGAGTAAGAGATATTATATATAATAGGGTGCAAATTGAGTGTCTCACACAAACATTCTTCTTATCTAGAAGTGATTTAGAAACTTGTCACTGCCATATGAATGAATGCAAATAGAACGTCCTCCAGGTTAGTATCAATCTCTTCCTTTGCTTCATTATCAATATATTCTCTAGAATCCAAATTTACATTCATAATTCCTTCGACCTTAAGAGTAGGATATTTAAAGTTCAACTCCTTTAGCATTGCTTATGGTAATTTCAAAAAGCATACCCCCCACCCACATATTAATAGAGTATGAGTTATATCTTTACTACAAACACTACATCAGAATAGAGATCTGAGAGCGGTTCCGTTTTAAATTAGAGAGCGTTTAGAACTGTTATAAAATCTTGCGCTATCTGATGTGTTATATTTAAGAGAGCGGTTAAACAACCGCTCTCAAAAGTTAAGATTGGAGAGCGGTTCCACGCAAAACTGCTCTCCAAAGTATAGGTTTAAGATTAGAGGAGGTTCCACGTGGAATCGCTCTCAGAAGTATAGATCTGAGAAGAGCGGTTAATAGAAATAGAGAACTGCTCTCTAAATATATAGTTACAAAGTGGTTTTTACTAACCGCTGTCTAAGTTAGAGCTCTAAAAACTCATTTCTGACATAGTGAAAGCACAAATGGGAAAGAAATATCTGAATAGAGTATCGGTATAAAACATACATACTAATGGGAAAGAAAAATGAATTAAGGGCACAATTCATGTCTAAAAATAGAGGAAAGATGAAGTTACTGCTTGAATCCATTCACATGCATTATGAGTTATATATTGTAATATATTGTAAATATCTCAAAATATTGTGAGTTATATCTTATTAATTTCTACAGATGAAGTTACTACTTGAATCCATTCACATTGTTATTAAAGTTGGAAAGATTGTGGTCTGCCATACGTCCAACTTGATGCACTTTTCACGATTTCGGAATGAGAACGAAAGAAAGAATGAAGAATTGACCGAAGGTTATTTTTCATGATTTGAGAAACTGAAGATTTTAGAGAAATATTTCTCAATGTTGAAATATTGCAGTTGTAATATAGAAAGGAAACTGAAGAAGAAAGACAATTGATATAGTTCAGAGGATTTGGAAAGTTTTTGAATTGAATAAGCGGGTATGAATAATGAAAGGTGATGGATGGAAAATGAAGGCTGCACTTTTGGTTCTCAATAGAAATCAGTAGAATGCATGAATGATGATGGGAATAAAAGACGAAGGGACATAAAATAAAAAGCACTGCTTCAGTTGTAAGATTAAGGCATATATATTTGTGCATGATTTATGATTTATCATAGCTGGAATACATATAAGCGGAAAACTCACGAGAATGCATGATAAATAATCATTTACTTATAAAATGGAGGGAAATTTTACTGCAATGTTTCCTCTTTTTATATTTAAAGGCAATATCTTCTCATATGGTGTAAGTTTAAAAATTTTAACACTTAGACATAAATATTTTATTTAATTTATATTTAATAAGTTATAATTTATTACTTTACTGACCGTCAGATATAAATTAAAGAAAAGATTCAGATTAAATTTAAGAGATTTTAAATTTATTTGAGTGTGTGTGACTTTTTTACTAACTTATAAGTGCTATTGATTTTCGATGAACTGAAGCATATCTTCTTGAGTTATCTACAAGTGTATAAACGTTTAAATAAATTATGCTCTCTTTTACTTCTTTAAAAAATAAAAGATGTCTCTTAATTAATTATATTAATTTTGGTTTTACCCTATTTTTTTAGATTATCTGTAGATTTTTAATAAGGATGAAATTCGATAAATTCAGAGAAATTATTTTAAATACAATAACATTTATAGATGTTGATATTATCATTGAAATGCTTGTGATTTATTTGTTTTATTTTTGGAGTATTTTTTTTCGCTTATTTTTAACTTAATCTATCATTGTAGAAAAATGATGCAAATTTGATATGTCATGAAATCAGGTTGTCATGAAAAGTTGAAGCCTTGGAGCATAAGAAAGACAAAAAGTTGAATGTACTTCTTAAATCTCCATTTTTATATAAACATTTCATGTACAATTTTGACCCTCAGACCTGGTCTGAATTTCCACTCTTTGGTCAACATTTTAATGAATAAAGCTTAGCCGTTAAATTAAGTTTGAAATTTTACAAAACACCTCTCTCTCCCCAACACAAACCTCATGGCCACTTTTACTCTTTTTGCCTTGAAAATTTTTTCTCTTCTTCAACACCAGACCCTTTCATCTTCATATAATTTTTTCTTTCAATCTTTACATGAAGAAAGTGAATTAGTATAAAAATAATATTAATATTATTTTGATCCTTTACATGAACAAATAAATATAAATATTTTTTTTTTTGAACATATACTTGGGTCCAGAATAAATTTTTTAATAAGTCCTTATAAAAGTAAAGAAAAAGTAGTAAAATGAAACAAGTTCTTCCCATAAGTCAAAATTAACTTATATTTCTCTATTTTTTTTAGAAATTCTTTCATTTAACTTCTTTAAAATTTGAGGTATATAAGTCAGTTTTAATTTATAAAAAAAAATTATTTAAATTGTATATTAATTTTCTTCTCATATAAGATTTTATTTAAAAACATTAGTATTATATTAATAGATTAGAGCATAATTGCGAGCGTGGTCAGGATTTTTCAAGTTTCATACTCTACAAAGCTTATTTAAATTTCAAAAAGTGTTTAGAGTCATGGAAGCACGATTCAACCTTCCAAATGCAATTTGCCACCTCCAAAGTTGATACAAATTAACGATATAATTTTGTTAATTTTACTATCACATGTTAAAATCATTAAAAAAATGGTTCTGGTTTTGCTTTTAAACTTAGAAACAAAAGAAGTAAACGGTGATGTAGGAAAATTTGCCAAACCATGTGCACAAGGAAGCCAAAGAGAGAGATGAATATGTGAAGGGGTAATAACCTCAAGATAGTCAATGAAAATAGGGAGTTAGGGAAACAAGTCGTGGACTAACAGGATGCAAGCTGCTTCATTTTGGAACTCAAACCAAATGAAAAAAAAAAATGAAGTGAATAACATTTATATCAATTGAAGGAAATTCACAAATTGATTAGCATAAATAAAACAAATTTGGAGATTGCTTAATCGCCAGATTTTCTGTATTCAGGCTTTAGTTCATACGTGCCTTGATTAGTTCCTTTGTTGTTGTAGACACAAAGGTCTTTTAGTATATCTTTCAGAAATTGCTGTAGAAAAGGTTTAGATCCAACACATTAGTTAAACCAAGCAAGATAGTCATTACTAAAACTAAATATAACTTCCAATATAAAAAACAGTGAGGTTGAAGGAGTGGGTGTATATATATGAGTTAGGATTCATTAATATCAAGTGCTAAACCTAAAGTTACATGTCTTAATAACTTATGGAGAATGCAAGATTTATCAATTCAACTATTAAATCATTTTATATTATCTTCATATCAGGCATATCAAATTTTACAAAATTTAGACATTTGTAAGTATGTTATTTAAAATTTAATATTTATTTATCTTTTAAAAACATAATATCCAATAAAATAAGTAAGGCAATGAAATACCTATCAATTTTATTTTTATATAAAATTTATAAAATTAATGTATTTAATAAGAACTTTCAAACTAATAGTTATATCAATCATTCTCACGATCTATAAAAAGTTACTAAGGTCTAAGTTTGATACTTAATGTCGAAGGAATCCTGACTGACTCTCTCTCTCTCTCCCTAAACCCTAAAAGACTTACACCAAGTTCTAACCATACAAATCAACAATCTAACGGTATATATATATATTACACTAATCTAAGTTTAAAAATTCTTACACTCAATCTCAGCCTTTCATTTAACTTATATTTAACAGGTTATAATTTATTATTTCAGTGACTGGTAGATATAAGTTAAATGAAAAGTTAAGATCTAGTGTAAGAATTTTTAAACTTACGCTAGTGTGAAAAGATCCTTCTCCTATACATATATATATATATAGTTTCATAATCATGTAGTGTGCTTGGGGAGACCTACCAATTATACAGAGTAAACTTATATTGTTAAATAAAATGTCAACTAGGGATGTATCTACATGACTATTTTCCCTTTTTTTTTTTATCAAAAACAAATGATATAGACAAACTGCCATAAATCTCCCAAAATTCTCTGAAAATGATATATACAGCTTATTTTATCTTATGAATCTATATCGTATAAATTTGTTCAATTGCATAAATATTATATCAGATGGGTCCAAGCATCCACCATACATGCATCTACAAGAATCAATTTACTTTTAAGGTTGTAATTCATTATCTGTATTAAGTTTTAATTTTTGTTAAGTGGAAGGGTTCCATAAGTATCAAGTGGTATCCCATACACTAAAGCTTTGTAAGAGAAAAATACTACTTAAATCACATACTTCAGGTTGGTCGGTTTCTTGTATGAGGTTTCTTAAACTCCAATTTGCCTGCCTTTCAAATAGCTTAAACACAATCTCTTCCATCTCTCCACGGTCTCTTCTTGTTCTCTTCATCTCTGTTCCTTTGGCTGGAGCTTTCTTCTTTTCCTAATCCAATACAGAAACGAGCAACATATGAAGTATAAATTAAAAGAAAAAATTATTGAACTACATAATATATAATATAAGCCTAGGGGGGAGGAGAGAGAATTTAATCGGTAAGTAATAAAATGACGTAAGAACTGCACATGATGCCAAAAGAAGGAAATGTTTCTCTTGGTGCACAATCGATGAGGACTGAAATTGGTAAGATGAAGAAGGATAAGGCATTTACAGTGGGTGCAGATGTCAAAAAACTGTACATCCCTGGCATTGGCCTCATATGAATGCCACTATCATTGTTAATAACCTGAAAAATGGAGTTCAGAAATCAAAGGTGAATCAAACGTTTCCTAAATCAATGGTTCACCGTTATGAGAATTAGAGCTATATGAAAACCTGTATCTGTCTGTTTTTGACCATATATTTGTTTGTCCTTTCACGACAGAGTTTCCCATAGAGTTCAAGATTTTGATTATGGGGCCTCATGTCAAATTTGTTCAATATCTTTCCTTCCACAGAGATCTTTCCTACAACACCACAGAAATTTCAATTGTTGATTTACATTTTTCTAAATTAGTTCTTAAAGGGGAGATCCGTGATGCTTTGGGTCTAGCATAAAATGTCCATAACAAAGAGAGAAAGTACAAGAGCAAAGAACAAGATATCATATAGACAAAGAAATCATATCAGAACATACAAGGACAACATATATTAATTATATTGGCTTAATCTCAGCTCTTAGGTTGATTTTAAAAATATAAAAATAAGACGCTACTATTGGAAAAGAAAACATCTATAATATTGGAGACCAAAAATATAATAAATACTTTTGTTTTCAATAAAATTTAACAATTATTAGTTGAATAAACTCTTATTTTAGTTTCTAAAATTGTAAACGTCGGATATTTTTGTTTCTGAAATTTTAAAAATATCACATTAATCCTTGACTTTTATCTTTATCCATTATTTTAGTTTCTCGAGCTACACACCATTAACACACAGTAACAAAATGTTGACTTACGTTAAGTGACACATATAATTGAATATATAGTAAAAACTATAATTTTTTCGGACATTTTAATTCCTGAGATTGTTATTTGTCATGCATTTTAGTTCACATTTTTTAAAACATTTTATCTATCAATCTTTCTTCTTCTTCATCCTTCTAATGCTATACCATCACCAAAAAACACTATTGTTGACCACCATCTACATTCTATGCTGCTAGTAATGACAATTTCAAAGTTTTTTACTTTAGATTTTCATAATTTGTTAGGATTGTAGGTAAGGATATCGGCTCAAATAGGGCCAAGCCCACACTATGGAGGGTTTACACTAGAAGAGAGAAGTGTAAGGGCAAGGAGAGTGATGTGGCATAGAAAGATATAAGTGGTTAGCCAAAGTAAGGAGGGAATTCGTTATAGTGGAATGGGTGTGTAAGAGGGGGTATCTTTTGCATATCAAGAAGTTAGTTATGGATGGAGAGCACTAGCTCTCTGTAGGAGCCTAGCTTTATGCAATAGTACTCATTTTACTAATTTTTGTTTTATATCAAGTAATATCAGCGTTATTTCCTCTATTTCCCTTGTTCGAGTTGTTTAAATTCCATTCCTACAAAGGAATGCCTCTGTATTTAATTGTTCTTACTCTTGCTTCCTTGATAGAAACATCATTTATACTTGTTTGTCTTTTTGTCTTTGCTAATTTGATGCTTGTTTTTGACTCTTCAACCATAATAAATCCAAGGGGACCTAGACATTTTTTTCTTTTTTGGTGGCAATATAGCCACTAACATAAGCCGATGTAGCACTTGAGATTACAGGTCTTTTTCCAGTAACAATATTTTGAATTTCTTGCACCTCTTCTTTCTCATCATCATCTTCATTAGACTGAAGTAAATATGTCTTTTTTTTATATCTTCTTCTCATGAGTTCCTATTAGTGTTTGTTTTATTTCTTTGGGAGTCATTGGTCAACTATCAATACCTCTCTTCACTCCCATCTAATGTCTCTTTGTTCAGGTAATATCACTAGTAGTTATTTTTTCACAAAACTTACAAGTAACATAGTTCTTATTGTTTATGTCATTCAAACTATTTTATTGCTAACCTATATCCAAATTATTTCTCGATGGCTTCACAAATGCACAGGAAAAAATTGAAATAGAGGTAGTTCCTTGTGACTAATTGGCAAGAGCATCCATTGGTTATACTTTAATTTTTGAAATTTGAAACAGAATAGAGTAAGAGAATCAAAGTAGAGAAGTAAATAAAAAAAATAAACAAATAAGGAAAATAGAGTCATTGAAAATGTGCAGGTTTGCTGAATTTGTCGAAGATGCAAAAGATGACCAGAAAATGTTTGGATGACTTTGGAAGCTTTGCTGAACTTAAAGAAGACAATTGAAAATGAAGAAAATGACTGAAAACAATCTATGTCACGTGGAGAATGTCTGTGTCATGTCAGAAGCCTCACTGGAGATGAAGGCCACCGGAAACAGTGAAATTGTAGAAAACAGAGATGAAATGAGAGAAAAACTGAGAGATGAAATGAGAAGCTTAGGAATTGCAAAAAAGGGAGGGAGAAGATATTAGAAAATAAGAGGGGGCAAAATTCCAAGATTGCCCCCCCTTAAAAGTCATCCAACGTTCAGAAACAAAAAACAAGTTTGGAATTTCAGTAAGAATAAAATAGAGGCTACAACAGCTCCTTTGAATTGCAACGCTATTGGGTCTTCATAGCAGCACTGTGCTACTCTACGGCGATAGCGGCTGTTATTGACTACTATAGTTGATGAGTATGGAATGGCCAATGGAGGATACCAAAACGATGAGAATCTGATTAGGTGATGAACATAGAGCAGTGACAAAAGGCTTTTGTAAGAACGTAAAATTAGAGCTGAATGGAGCTAATTTCGTAATAGATACATTTTGTGTTGAATTGAAGGGTATTGATATTGTGTTGGGTATGGCATGGTTGGCTTCATTGGGAACAAAAACTATAATTAAACCTAAATAAAACATGATAATCTCTCTATTCAACAAAGATAAGGAAACCACTCAATTCCACAAAAGAGAATTTTTTAAAAAAATACCCCTGGAAATTTTGGCACTTCTATTCTACCAGAATCATTAGATCATAAATTACATCCTTAACAGAGGATTTCTGCTTTTTTTAATTTTGTAGAGCCACAGCATTGACATATGAGTAAGTATTTGAAACTCTCAAGACAAGTATAATATTAATGACTTGCCAAATTAAAAGAAAAAAAAAGATCCTATACTCCACTAATATCCAGCATCTGCACATTTTAAACAGTTTGCAGCGGCTAATATAAGAATCAGAGAAACACAAGTTAAAAACATTAGAAAAAAGAGTAACATGTCTCTAGAAAGGATAGAAATTCCAAGTAATAGAAGAATTCTCTACATAATAGCAATTGGGACTAGGGTGGTGATCTAGGAGGATTGATAATAAAGGATGGCAATGGAAATATTAGAAAAAATGTGGCAACAGTGTCTATTCAAAGATCACTTGTAAAGTTAAATCAGTAAGGCAGAGTTACCTAGGAAGTATAAGAACACCTGAATGGGTTGACAATATAAAATAGTATGAATTTGGGCCCTCCAAAGTTATAGGTGTGAACCTATTAAAGGAAAAACTGAGGAATCTCAACCATGGATGAAAAAGAAACATCAAATCCTTAATAGTTACGCGTGCAAGTACTTTCATCATAATATCAACCAATGATCTTCAAACAAGGGTTGAAAGTTGAAACTTCTCATTTTTCCCTCAAAGTGAACCACAGTTTTGGAAAAGTCAAATTCAATGCTACAATATGCACTTCAACGGTCACTTCAACTTCTCATTTTATTTTTAATTTTATTTTATCTTTTTATAAATTAGCATATTCAAATATACATTGTAGGTCAACATTAGTCCAAAAAAAAATTAGCTCATAGCATAAGATAATTAACTGAGATCTTTCATGAGACAAGCAACATTGATAACAAAATCCAAAACCTTGAATGTGAGACAAGTAACATTGGATCATTATTTTTCATTTTGCTTGAAATGATTATTGAAATTTTAAGCCCTATGAAAAGACGTACAAGAAAGTCAAGAAAATTATTAAAATGGATCTCATGATAGATAATACTTCTGAAAATTTAGTTTTTGACCAATTTCAATGATATTGTGTGATTCATGTAACTACATCTAGTAGGATAAAGCTTTTGCTGTTGTTCTTGTACCATGGTAGATTGATGACATACCTAAATTGAAGAAAAATTTTCTTGACTACAGAATTCCCATCCCTTTTATTATGTTATTTTTCACATAACATAGAGTATACCATTAGGAAAAGAACAAAAAACGAAGTGGATAAATAGAAGAAAGTTATCTCAGCAACCAAGCTTGAAAAGACACAAGGTTTTCTGTCTTGATCAAATATAAGTAAATCAACCAAAAGAATAACAGTCCCAAAAAGAAAAAACATTTAGACATATTTAAAATGTAATTATAAAAGATGATGATAGTGTAAGGTAAAGCAAAAAATTCTAAGCATTTAATTAGAAGGACTATTAATCGTCCCATTCTCTGATTAATAAATTCATCCACGTTGTAATGTTTGTAGTTGGCATACCAATCTATCACTCTGATAGACCCTTGGTAATTAGTTGTATATGGGGAAAGGTTAGAAGAGGACAAAGTGGTTGGGCCAAGACCAAGAATCCAGTTAAGTTGGGAAGAATAGGAAATATTCAAGTTAATGAGTTGCAGCATAGCAATATGTTTGCATGGCAGTGGAATAGAGGTGGGAAGAAAAATTCTGTTAGGATGGGGCCTGGGGGTGAGGATAAATGTGAGGAAAGCAAAGAGTGAAGGTAGGCAATGATTAAGGTGATTTGAGGGTGCCTGTTGCTTGGTGCAGAGATGGCATCCTTCTTTGATATTTTATTTTTTATTTTTTTCCCTAAATTTTTCTAGAGTAATCTGAGCTTTGTTCTCTAAATTTTCCTATTATTCCGATAGTGAATGCCAGTTCCCATTACGATAAAAGGGGCATCAGGCGTGGCACGATAAAACCTTTTATTAGAGCATCCATTATGAATAAATGATATCCCAGATTCTTTATGGAGTAAGAGAAATACAACTTTCAACCTGCTATTACATTTAGTCAAGGATGGACTAATGGAGGCCTTACAACATATTTTACAGAATATGCAAATAAACGCTTCTAAGATTTTCCCTTCAAGCAATCAAGTTCATTTTCCATCCAAGTAATTAATTAAAGGTTCAGTTTCAGAACTTCATGCTTTGTTAAAACAGATAAACTCAAGTGTTGGAAAGTCATTCATAATTAATGAAATAAAAAATGGACATGCATCTTAGATTCTAATTATGCAATAATATTATTCATAGCTGATGTACCTGAGGTCCATTCATTTCAACCTACAAAGTTAAAAAGAATGAACATTTTCATTTCTTTCTTTTCCGAAGGAACACCCTTATTTCTCTAGACTGTGTTGAGAATGGAGGTTATTTAGTGACAGCAAAAAGAGACATAAGGACATAAAATTACCATGTCATAATATGAAAGTAATATACTGCTTGTTCAAATAATCACAGGTACTTCATGTCAAACCAGGATATAAATGAACAGTGAGCTTAATTAACCACCAACATAAGTTGTAATTTTGAATACCTGTGGTCAGTGAAGGATGAATATTTACCTTGTGGTGTGTCTGAAAACACAGACATTGGAATCAAGTCTTTAGACATGTCCATAACATAACATCTGGGTATATGTCCAGCTTCAGCCAACTCCATAGTAAACTGAGTATTTTAACTAAACAATAAATTTTAAAAGGACACAAAATTCTAGGAAAATTGTCATTGATAGTCAATCTAAGTAACTATTTTCATATGATACACAACGTCCTCTTCCAAGATAAACTCTTCCAAAATAAAATGACAAAGCAATTCAAGAAGTGAAGAAGAAAAATGGGGACAAGTAAGGTTTGCTAAGGTCAAGAGCATAGAAAGTGGGAAGGTATAAAATAGAAAAGGAAAATGCTAACATATACCTTAAGGGACTAGTTAAAAATGTAACAATGCATTCACCCCCAATGACCCCATAATTTTTATTGCACGTGTTTTAAAATAAAAAATTATTATTTATTTTCTTTAACCACTGTTTAGCAGGACCAAACAGAGAATGTAACCTAAACAAAAAATTGGACCAAAGCTAAGGCTCAGATTAAAAATGATAATCCAATCAGCTGTTGATTTTCATTCACCTTCAAACTTCTTTCATTCATCCAAATAATTTTATTTTATTGGCTCTTTCTTTAAACACTCCAATTCAACCAAACAGAGTATAAGCATTTGCACCCACCACCACAACTTCACGTAGAATAAACCAAACAATTAGACATGGCGTGTTCTCAACTAATTACAATCAAGATTCTGTGAAAGGGGTTACTGAACAACATTTTAACTGGGGCAACATAGTATATGCATATATTTATTATTTTGAATATCATTATCAATATCTACACATCAATATAACACGCCATTTCATCGAAAAGAACGTAAAAGATTGGAAACCAAAAAAATGAAAAAAAAATTATTACGGAGAAAAGAGAGAAGAGAAGAAGAAAATGACAACCTGAGGGGGAGAATCGTCGTCGTTTGAGTTGAGAGGGTCGATGGAAACGACGACCTTGGCGACGGGGCGAGAGGGGTCAGAGGGAGTGGCGCGGAGTGAGCGAGAAACGAGGGGAGGGCACTTCATGAGCCACACCGCTCTCTCAGCCTTGGACGTGTCCACGTAAACATTGTTGTTGCTGTGATTGCTCATTCTGTTTGTTGTTTTCGTTGCTACCACCTTCTTCCAATGGAAACCGTTTTGTTCACTGTTTTGCGTGCGCAGTTCACTTTTTACGTCTCATTCTATTTATTTTTTATTAAATATATTTTAAAATTATTTTTTATAAAAATATTTAATCTTTTATAAAATATAATTTATTTTCTATAATTGATTTAATTTTAATTATATTACAAAAATTTATATTTTAATGTGATTTCTTAAAAAAAATTATTATAGTTTAATATCAAAATTTTAATGTCATTTGTATATTTTTTAAATTATAAATATATACAAGTGAAAAAGTTAAATTAAAAATTAATTTTAATAAAAATATAATTTTATCAAATATTATCTAATTTATTATTTTATTTTATTTTTATTTAATTTTTATATTTTATTATTTGTTACTGTTCTAGTATTTTATTATATATATATATATAAAAAGAAGTTTTTTACATTAATATAAGTTTAAAAATTTTTACATTTAATATGAGTCTTTTATTTAACTTAATTTAAATCTAAATAAAATTTTTTAGACTTTCATCACTGTAAAAAGATCATGCCCCATGTATATATATATAATAAAATATATTTAAATTAAATTAAATTAAATAATATTTTAAAATACTTTTAACTTAATTTTAAAAATAAATAAAAATATTTTAAATTATAAAAATTTAAGTCAATTATCGTTGTATTTCACAGTCGTCGTTCTCTAAATGAAATATCAAGAAAATGTTTGAAAGCTAAAATTATAATGTCAGAAAAAATGCATTTAGATACAGAGTATTATTAAATATTTGTTTAATAAATTTATTTTTTGTTTAATATAAAAAATAACTTAGGATAATTTTGATCTAAGATAAAAAGAATATAGTATATTTTAATGTTAGTTATTAAAATAAATTTACTAATAAGATAATTATTTAAAAAATATGTATAGATATAATAACTTTTTAAATATTCATATTAATGAATTATATCTTTAAAAATATTCATATTTTAGTCCTCTAATTTAAATTTCTTTCTTTGACATCTTAATTTGATGATAAAATATTTAAAAAATTAATAAATGATACATTAATCTTTTAAAAATTTAATTTAATAATAATATTTTTTAAGAAAATAATTTTATAATGTCAATAGTTAAAAGATAAAATATAAGATGATTAAATTATTTTTTTAATAATACTACAACTCAAATAAGTTCACTAATTATTATTTTAAACTCTAATGAGATGATGTACTTATCAAATAATTTTATTTGATATATTATTTATGTAAATTTTATTTTAACAATTAATTACAAATCAGGCATACAATGAGTAAAGCATTATGTTAAAACTTTTATTTTTGAACTTTCATTTTAAAAAATTAATCATATTTATATAATAATTTTGATTCTAATTTTCATACACATTAAATACTTAAATTCTAAATACCCACTTTATTATTTTTCATTTAGTTAACTAAAATTTATTTTTTATAGTTATTTATAAAATAATAGAAGTATTAATTAACAAAGCATCAAATATAGTGTGAAATTACCATAAAGATATAAAAATAAATAAATATAACATGAACTTTCAACATTAAGGTAATATATATATATATATATAATTCATTTATTTTAGGTTTAAGATAAAATAAAATAAAATAGTTTTATGTAAAAAAAATTAGTAAATATAACGGTGTTAAATGCTTTCATATGCTAAATTCATAAAGTAGCTTTGTAACCATTGTCTAATGTCAATTCTTAATCTCCACAATCATATTTTCAATCATCTTTTTCTCAACTTCAAAGAGGGTAACAATATTCAAAATCTCCTTTAAAGACGATGAATGAAATGGAAGAAATGTTACTGCAATTCATGAAAGTGACCCAAATTTCAAGAATCAAGAAGCATTCATGAAGAAACTTGAAACTCAAATCAGACAACTTTTAGAACAATTGACAAACAGGGATGATAGTAGATTCCCTAACAATACTATTATGAATCCAAAGGAGCAATGTCATGTTATAATATGAAGAAAGTCAGCTTTTAAGAAATATGAAGAAAGCCAACAAGATAACTTCAAAGGAGAACATATTTCTCTTCTAAGAAGAGAAAAATTAGAAGACAACAATTACACTAAATTGGAAAGAAGAACTAAGAAACAACTATTTGAGAATGTTTGCAAACCAATAGATGAGGATAAGTATAAAAGGCTTTCATTCCCTCAAAGATTACAAAATCCCAAGCAAAAAAAAAGAAACAATTTGAGAAATTTATGGATATGTTTAGAAAGCTACAAATTAATATCCGTTTTATTGAAGTGTTAGAACAAATATTTTCATATGCTAAATTCATGAAAGAGTTATTATTAAAGAAGAGAAAGCTAGAAGCTAATAAAATAGTCTCATTGACTGACGAGTGCAATGTCATCATCCAAAGGAAATTGCCTTCAAAGCTCAAGGATCTAGACTCATTCAGTATACCATGTGTCATTGGAAGTTTTACCAGTGGGAGAGCCTTTTGTGACTTTCATACAAGCATGAATTTGATGTCTCTAGTAATAATAAAGAAATTAGGGATTGAAGAAGTTAATTTCACAAATATCACCTTGCAACTTGCTGATAGATCATTCACGTATCCTTATGTTATTATTGAAGCCCTATTAAAAGTGGATAAGTTAATTTTCCCAGTTGACTTTGTAATTCTAGGTATGGAAGTGGATGCAGATATTCTCCTAATTTTAGGGAGTATATTATAGTGAATTGATAATGAGAGTTCATGAGGAGAAAGTGATTTTTAATGTCATTGAAGCCATCAAATATCCCAACAATGATTCTAGTTGTATGAGTATTGACATATTTGATTCTTCAATAGCATCCACATTTGAAAAATAGGATGATGATTCTATTCTAAGAGAGGTTCTCGCAGTAAGATATCAAGACAATGAAGAGCATGCCTTTATCTCTTTCGACTATTTAATTAAAAGAAAAACTACAAATTGATGAGGAAAAAAAGAAAAATCTAAAGATAAAGTTAGAGTTTTTACCATCAAAATTATCTTCAAAAGCTAAAGATTATCAAGCGTCAAACTAGTGACATTAAAGAAGCGCTTTGTGAAAGACAACTCACACAAATTTTCTTTCATATCTTTCAAATTTTTTATTTACTTTTGAAATTTTTGTAGAATAGTTAGTTTAATCTAAGTTTAAGTTGCATTTAATTCCTTTTTCTCATTAAACTAGGAACTTATTTCATAATATCCACTCAACATTTGTTGAAGTTATTACTTTTAGCAGTGAAAGTATCAACACACAAGGGAGTTTCTTGATGTAGCTTGCTATATAAAAGGTTTGCTAGAACTTCCACTATCAGCATCAAAAGTGGTTATGTGGAGGCTGTACTTAGCAATATTAAGAAGAGAGTTTGTTGAAACCTCCACTTTTTACGCCCAGAGAAACCACGTACAAGTGCTTTCAACCTAAAGTAAAAAGGAAGTCCTCTGGAACACTCACCGTGAACACCTTTCATGAAAAATGGAGGGTTATGTTCTTTACCTCTTAATTCATGTGATGAATTGTATCATAACTTTTCTTAACTAAATTAAAAAAACCATAAAAATATATTAGCACATAATTAAAAATAAAAAAGAATAATATAACATTTTGTGATGAATAATTTAGGCTCCTTCTTCCATTTCTTATTTCTTTTTGAGTAAATATTTTGTTTGTGTAATTCTTTGTGATTGTCACACTTTATTATAAAAATTAGAGGTTCTTACCATTTTTTGCATATGTGGGTTTTGAGGTGAATTGTGAATATTATTGATTGATATTATCACTTTATTCTTCAATTTATTTTAAAAATTACATAATTTTTAAGCTTTCTTATTTTAAAAATGAAAATAATTTTTTAAATCCATATAATGATTAATGATAATAATATATAGATTATTCTATTATTCACATATATACAATGACAAAATCAACATTTTCATCCTATTTTCTTTAAAAACTAAAAATATTTTTTTCCTAATCACGTTAATAAACCTTCAAAAAGTTTCATTTTTAATTTTTCTTACAACCTTTCAACAAGGTTCCTACTTTCAATTATATAACTATCAAAAAAGGTTTTCTTTTTAGAACTAAGTAGCCATAATTTTTTTATTACACAGGATACATAAGAGGAAGAATCAAAACTCATCAATTATTCACAATTTAAGAATGATATAGAGCTCGATTATTGCACAATTAGGTAACTATTTTTGTAGACATTATTAAGTGCTAATACTTTTCTTGTGCATCATTAGAATTTTTAACTTCAATTTTGTAAAGTAAACCATTTTTTAAAGTTTTCCAATGGTTTTTTAAAAATTTTAGTAGTCACTTCTTTAATCTCTATTTTCCTCTTTTGCATTTTCAATTCACTCCTTTCAAAAAATAAAATTCCCCATTATAACTCTGGTTGGATCAATCATATAAAGAATAGGGAAAGTCATAGCTGATATGCTGAGGTATGTGAGATGTCATGTCATGATTTAGGAAGAAGCCTTGGAAGTATGCCCCAAAGCCCCAATGGCATAGAGTTGCACCCTAAAATTGGAATTGTACAGCTAAGTTAATTATTAAGGAAAGCTACCTAAGATAGCAAACTGATAAGTCTATATTTAGGCTTGTTTTTATAGCCCATATATTTATGTTTGACCAGTATTTTTTTCAAGTTTTGCATTAATTCATATATATTTTATGTAGTTTAGCATAAAGAAGCCCATAGTTAGATTTTTGGGCATTTTCAGCCCAATGTGGTTGGAAATTAGATATTCACAACTGTCAGCATGCTCATTCCTTAAAAGCAAGCATGAGAGTGCTTCGAGTCCATGCATGTGCTCATATGCGGCAAGCCCAATTAATGAAGAGCTTTTAGAGTTTTTAAACCGTATTAAAAAGGGACCTCAGACATCCTATTCTACATCTTGTCCTTGCTCTGTGATACACCTCTGATCTCTCTACCCTATCCTCAACCCTCTAGCACACTTTTTGTGAAACTTGGAACTTCAAGTGACAGTACTTGACTGGAAACTCATCTCATCTCTAGTTTGCTATTTTCTCTTGATTATGACTTTGTTTATGAATGTTTTAGTTTTTTTCTTTAGCATAAGTAACTAAGTCCATAGTTAGGGCTATGAGAATTTTTATTTATGAATTTATGGGATCTTAAAGTTTGAATCTATGTTAGATTTTTGTTTATGATTAGTGTTTATCCTATTGTACATAATTGTATAATCCTAATTAATTATATCGTCAAGCGACCATACCTCGATTAGTTAATAGATATATAGGATAAAATGAGACAAAGGATTAGGTGGACCAAACCAATTTTTTTCTTCCAATCCTTAATTAATTAAAAAGTTCATAGGTGCTTTATGATTTCTTGAATTAATATCTTGCATGACTATTATAGATGTTAGTTTAGAGAAAAGAATGTTAATATTCCATGACCATTGAGTATTGATCGTAATTATATAAATAATTGGTAATAACAAGGAAATCGAGCTTAGAATTAAATGAAAAAATAATATAAAGGATTGAATGAGAAAACTCATATGCCCCTAAGTTCCTCTCCTATAAGTTCAACCAAGACGTGCATAATGTTACTTGTTTTTATTCACAATTGATTTTATAATTAAATTATTATTTTAATTAATCTTATATCCTTTGAGTTTAAACAATTAAATTAGAAAATTCTTAGTAATTAGAAAACAATCCTTGTGGGACGATAGTTTCGAGAGCTTAATTTAAGAACCCTATAATACTTTTCAACATGTTCACTTGCCCACCAAACACAAACCTATCTAAAAACAAACATACAAATTAATAAAAATTTCTAATAAATATAACATGTGATAATTTATTTATAATTCAACAACAAATAATGAGACTGAAAAGGTATAAAACATCAATAAAACATTTGTTACATAACTAAAATAAGAAAACAAAATCTAATTCTCTAACTATTGAAAATCAAATGCATGACATTGGCATCAAAACACCAATGATTTCCATATGTCTGTTCATCATGTACATTTCAAAGCACCAATATATGTCATGACAAGAATGATTTTATGGTTATCTTATTATAGCAAATATAGCAATTACAATTGTGTCTAACATTCACACAAACAATTCACTAGAAGTTTTCTTTATCACCATGCTAGTAATAATTGAAGAAAAGAATAGGTTATGCACACTTTGTGTTTTAAATTTGACACCTTTTTTACAAAATGAAAAACATAATAAATGTGATTTAATTTTTGAGTTATTTTTTATGTGTTTGATCTAATTAAGTAATAATTATATTATAATTAAAATTTGACATTTCTAGAATGTTTATTCTTTGTGTATAACCTTATATATTATACTAATATTTTGTTATGATATTAAATATAAATTTATTTATATTTAATATCATAGATTGTTAACAATGTCTAGTAATATCACTTTTATCAAAATTAAATTTTTTTTACTAAATCAACATAACATATTTATGTTATAATTAATACCATACAATTAGTTTTTTAATTTATTATCCAATTTAATATAGAGCATGAACTGCATCATCACGTAAAATATAATTTTATTTCTTTGATACTCAAATAGAATTTTTAAAATACGTATCTCAAAATTTGTTTACTCTACATATTAAACTTATACATTTATATAATCTAGTAAACTTTTATAAAATATAAAATTTATCAATTCAACTATTGATTTGAAGATTCTTGTTGTCGCCGATATTGCACTTGAGATCAAAGTGATTGGCGGAGGACTACCAATTCTATGTAGGTGAGACTACCAATTCTATGTAGGTGAAAACATGAGGAGAGGGAGAAAGAAGGGTCAAGGAGCAATGGTTGTACAGGAAGAGCATAATGGGGTCTTAAATAGTTAGCAAAGGTTGGCAAACAATGACAATTGAAAGGTTGATGGAATAGTTGGGGATGGAAGTGAAAGGGGTGCAAATAAAGGTGTTTGTGCTTAGAAGATAGAAGAGGGATTTAGGGGGTGTTTGGGTTGTATGTAAGATTGAAGAAGGAAAAATTGTTAATTAAGATTACGGAATAAGGTATGGAGCATTTGAATTAGAAAGAAGGGTGGCCACAATAATGATGAGTTCAGAGGGAAGGGAGGGAAAGTGGAACTGGAGGAGCATATGTTTTTTGAGACAATATACTCATTGAATCCGCTTCAAATTTTACATACGTCCTCTATTATTTTGTTCAATTCGCTTAAGTGGATTGTTTTGGACATCAGGCGTAATCATTAACAGAAAAGAATTCAAAACCAGCCCAACCCAACAAGAACAAAGAAGTTCTACAAAATCACATTTGATGTCTAAGTCAATGTGGAAAATAGACAAGCATGCATGAATTCATGAGCTCAAAATAGACAAGCATGAGGAATTGGCACTAACTATGAATCACTGTAGAAAATGTGTCAATTGTCATAAGGAAAAAGTCAAAATATCACATACGCTAATCCTGGAAAGCTACTTGGAAGCATCAACCTGATATAGGCGACCAATTTTTAGGCATTCAATAGATATATCTTCAGCAAAGCACCATGAGAACATACTTTGATTAAAAAATTGACCTATTGTCCTAATTTGTATAAAATGACCTTATTTTAGAACCATGCAATTAAAATGTAATTTTCTTTGTATTCACGCAAACGAATATAAATACGTGTATGCAATATGTTAATAGAGGAAAAAGTAACAAGCATTGTCACTCAGTAATATTCCTTCTCTTTACCATTCTACATCTTCTACATACTTCTTAAGTTTACGAACCTCAACATAGTTTGCATTCTAAAACAATTGGAAACTCCACTAGGGAGGTACAAAGTTTGTAAAAAAAAATAAAATAATGGGGAAGCGAAAAATTACACTAAGGTGACTATCTTTCAATCTTGAAGATTTTCTTAATGACCAGACTACCAATATGGAATCCAGGCAAAGTATCCTACCAATGAACTTTGACAGTAATAGAAACGAGATTGACCTTCTAGGCCAACTTGAAACACCTTTGCCCACTCCTTTACCAAACCCTTCAGTACTAATCCCAACAACAATTCCTGACTCAATATTAGCCAATCAACAAAGTCTAGCACAATTAGTGAGATATATGAAAACAAACAATGACACTCCCTATCATGTCCTCTAAGAAATCCCACGCAGGACCTTGTATAGAGAACACTCCATTGCAGATGATGTGATAGTAACTCAAGGGAATTATGGTGGCTTCTACAAGGACACAAAGACAAATACATAACCCTTAAAGACAGAGAACCACCACTAGTTTTAGAAGTAACCTTTATGCCCTACCTACATTTCTCAAGTTTAATGGTTTGGGAAGTGCACATGAACATGTGACGACCTTCCTAGATGACTTCGGAATATATAGGAGTAATAAGCCACTGCGTCTAAAGGAGTTTTCAAAATTGCTCATGGGGCGAGCATTCACATGGTATGCCAAACTACACCCTTATTCTATTAAGAATTGGAAAGAAATGATGGTTGAATTTTGTAACAAATTCCTAGAAGAAGAAGGCATCCTCCACATCATGGACTTGGGGCAAGTGAAACAAAAGAGAAGAGAAAGGCTAGTTGCCTACATCAAGAGGTACTAGGATCATGCTTTGCAGTGTAAAGAAACAGTTCATGAGAAGACTGAAAATAGCATTTAATTTGCCCCAAACTGTACATTTTTTTTTATGATCCCTCTCCCATTTCTCTCCACAAAATTGACAAAGTCCCTTGGAAATCCTCTCACTGATAAGTTTCTTTGAGGTCAAATTTGTTGAAGAGGATTTGTTATCAGTAATAGATTGTGAAACTGTTGGGCTATGAGATTGATTCTGTTGTAATGTAGTGATTGGATGGTTTCTGACATTGGAAGAAGAATTAGACCATGATCTGGTGTGTCGAATGGAAGATTCTAAACTCACTGGTCCTGCTGGTGAGAATTTCTTTGCCATTTCATGAAGCACCTCCTCTTGCAACCTTGCAATTCGAATGGCTTCTTGAACTGTGGTTGGTCTGTGAATTCTGACTGATTTTTCCAATTCAAGATTGAGACCAGAAAGAAAGAAACTCAAAGCTAGATCTTCATTGACTGCAACTTTGGCCAATAATGTGTCAAATTTTTCAAGAAAATCGAGCAAAGGCCCATCTTGTTTCAATTTTGCCAATTCTGCAACCGGGTCATCAAAAGCTCCTGAGTCAAATCTGTTACCTGTGTCCAGAAGAATTTGTTGCCAAGAATTGCCTTTATTATTAATGTTCTGCATATAATGCCTTTGCCAAGCAAAAGCTTTACCATCCATAGAAAGTAACAACAATCGACTTCTTTGATTCTCGGGTGTGCCTTCCAATTCAAAGAATTGTTCAGCTTTGGCTTTCCAATCCCGAAAGTTTGAGCCATCAAAAGAAGGAAAAGGAATCTGTGTGCGTTCAATTACTGATCCTGTGTTCTCTGGTATTTCACTATGATTATCTTCCGTACTGATGATTTTCTTGCCCGCTGCTAAAACAGTCACTACTGCTGTAAGACTTTCAATAGATTTCTGGACAGACTCGAATGATTTTTGCATAGTTTCTTGCTAATCAGAAAGATTCTTTTCAAAGAAGTCCATGCGAGCGTCCAATTCTTTGGTGGTCACCATCGTTTCCAAGCTAAGTCTGATACCAAATGTAACAATCAGGCAGCACTGACCCAATTGGAATCCTCACACTCTCCAGCTCTCAAGGCACAAGAGAAGACTAAACTGAATTTTATGAATGAATCACTCATCATGTACATAAGATGTATATTTATATCCTAAGGAAATAAACCTGCCAGCTAAGATACAAATATGACTTATTACACTGCACCCCAAACTGTCACTCTGTCGCTACAGCGAGAAGGCTACAGTTTTAGTCCTTTCTCCCAGGACTACAGCGAGAATCCTCTCGCTGCAGCGAGGACAGCCCTGAATTACACTCTGCACTTAGCCCATTTTCAGCCCAACCAGTCATGCACACACACACACACACACATATACATTTAGATTTATATAATTAACAATAATTAATATTACAAAATTCGGGGCGTTACAAAGTAGGCATCATATACAATGTGATTGTGAAGGCGGAGATAGTCACTTGTTCAGAGACTATTTTGCTAAAAATTGTGTATACATAGATATGTAATTTCGTTGAAGTTCTAAATGCAAAACCACTTGTTCCTTCGAATTGTGGATGCTCTTAGTAATCATAATCCGTATTTTTGAATGAGATATGATGCAGCTAGAGTGAAGGGTCTTCCCCCATTGCAGAAGTGCACTGTAGCTATTCGCATTTTGGCATATGGTTCACCTGGTGATAGTGTGGATGAATATGTTAGAATTGGTGAATCCCCCTCCATTCAATGCTTAGAACAATTTGTTAAAAGTGTGAACGAGATATTTGGAGATGAGTACCTTAGAAGGCTTACAACAACAATATCAATCGTCTACTACAAATTAAATAGACAAGGGGATTTACAGGTATGTTGGGTACTATTGATTGCATGCATTGGAAATGGAAAAATTGTCCAATTGCATGGCAAGGCCAATATCGTAGAGGTGATCATCATAAACCCACATTAATACTTGAAGCTATTGTGTCACAAGACTTGTGGATAGGAATAGAAATAGGCCAGGCCATCCAACAAGGGCCTACAGCCTAGCCTTCTTAATTTAAAAATCCTAAATCTTTTCATCAGAGTAAAAAAATGTCTCTATTACATACCTTTTAAGAAAAAGAGCTGGAATTTTTTGCATATCCTATATGAAAAAAAATATTGTTATTTATGTATTATTATTTTTTTGTTGGAGTTATTTATGCATTTTAGATTTTTGTTTGTTGCATTTGCTAATTTTAGGTTTAAAACTTATTTAGTTATATTGTGTTTATTGATTTAATGTGTAAGACTTTATGCTACTAGATTTGCTTAATAATTTATAAATTGATGTTCATTTCATTGTATTTTTTGTATGTGTAGTAATTTACTTATTCAAATTAAATATGTAGTTTAAAAGTGATAAATAAGAATATGTAATTTTATTATACATATTCAAGGTGTTGAATCATTTTTTTTAATAAATAAATTAGATATAAGCCTTATGACTTTTAGAAGACATACTTATTTAGATGGTTTAATAGTTTATTTATAAGGAAGCTTAATAACCTATTGAATGTCTCGATACGAAATAGGCAATTAAAAAGGCTAATAGGCCAAATCAGACCTTTTAAAAAGACCAAGCTAGGTTTAATAAAAAGCTTATGACAGATAATAGGTCAGATTTAAGTTTCAAAATTATTAAATAGACTAAGCCTATTTATGCAAAGCCTAACCTATCCTACCTTATTTTCATCCCTACTTATGGATTAGGCATGCATATTATGGAGTTGCAGGTTCAAACATTAACATTAATGTGTTGAACCAATCATTGGTGTTTCACGATAATGATACCGCATATAATATAGGATATTATCTTACTAATGGCATTTATCCTTATTGGGCTACTTTCGTGAAGACCATCCCAATGCCACAAGGAGAGAAACGAAAGTTATTTGTAAAACATCAAGAATCAACTAGAAAGGACGTGAAGAGAGCATTTAGGGTGCTAAAATCAAAATTTGTAATTATATATCATTCATCACGAAATTGGCACATTGATACAATGAAGAATATTATTTTTGCATGCATTATATTACATGACATGATTGTTGAGGACAAGCGAGATGTTAATAATGATTTTGTTAATCATGATTATAATAGTATAAATAAAGACATTTCAAACATTAAAACTACTCGTGGTGCTCCTTTAGACTTTGCTAATAATGAGTGTTCATTAGACATTTCAAATATTGAGACTACTTATGATGCTCCTTTAGACTTTGCTACATACCTACAAACAAGACACTACATGTATACAAGAAAAGTTCATTAACCACTACAATGAGACTTGGTAGAACATATTCACAACAATGATGAAATTTAATTTGTTTATGTAATGTCAATTTTTATATTTTGTTGTTTTTCAAATCATGTTTAGTCTTTTATTTTGTAATAGTATGATGTATTTTTAATTTTAATTATTGTAATAATATTAAATTAAAATTTTATTAAATTATTATTATTTTTTATTATTAATATTTTTTTTGTGTAACAATGTTAAATTAAAATTTGTTAAATTTAATTTCAAACAAATAATATAATAATTTTAATAAAACCCACAAAAAATAATTAAAAAATTCAAGCTTTAATTATACCACTAGAGAAAAAAAAATGAGAAAGTTCTTCATACAGTGAGATCCACATAAAATAATTACTACATTCATGTCTGGCACATACCCAGGAGATGCCCTTTTAACACGGGTTTGAGTTTTACCACGATAACGGATCTGTCGTAGATGAAGCTACTGAACAAGGGAGTCCTGCCTTAGTCAAGAATTTGACAGGCTATAGAGTTAATCTTCATTACAATTATGCGGAAAACGTCATTGCAAGGTCTCGATTTCGTGATGGTTAAACTATATATTTTATTTTAATAATTTCCCCATTGCTTTCTTCTGGCATTACCATCTCCATCTAGACCCAGGTATAGCGATGAAGCTCCAACTGGGATGCTTGCCTTTTAAATTAAAGGACAAAAATGTAGCAAAAGCAAGTCATATACCACGTAATTTGACTCTAAAATGTTGAACTCAATAAATTGTATCCAAAACCTTTGTTTATAATTTTTTTCCTATCCCCCACCCCCATGCACTCTTCCAACACCAACATGAACTCATTCAAATTTCAACAAATACATAAATAGAATGAAAATAACACAAGTAAACTCCCATACCCTGAAAGCGCCAACCATGATGCTTCCAACCTGACTGAAACTTTGCTTGCTGACAAAGACTCAACAAACAGACTGCTCACTAGAATTGCTATGACCCAATCTGAAGACAACTATGAGAGAATATCAATAAGGGCAGCACAAAGGTCAACCACCAAACCATGTCATATTGCCAGGTAGGAAATATGAAAAGATTATAATCAAGTTGATGTAGCATGCTCTTCAACTTTCTTCTCTGAATCTGCCTCGCTTTCCTTTCCGGACACTGATTCTTGTTCCTTAGTTTTGTCCTCAGACTTCTCTTCATCTTTCTTCTCATCTTCCTTCCTTTCAACACTCAATTTTTCAAGGAGACCAGCAGCAGCAGATGCATCCTTATTTTCCTCTCTGTTCTGTGATTCAGCAATTTCTTGGAATGTTTCCATGAACTTTTTGCAATCTAACAGAAAGAAAAAGCATCAGTAAATATATGCCATAAAATTATGCTAATTTTTGTTTCCATGAACTTTTTGCAATCTAACAGAAAGACACAGCATTAGTAAATATATGCCATAAAATTTTCCTAATTTTGTCCCAAATACAGACCTACTTAATGACACATATAAATTAAGTTATTAAGCACATCAAGTTTAATAACAATTACTCTCAGTGCAAGTGAATCCCCAATCATCACAAATATACCCCGTAAATTATGCTTCATAATGAAGCATAAAAATAGTATTCTCATGTAGTGCACTGCCAAAGAATCATGTTTTTAACCAAACATCCTTCACCCATCCCCAACACACTCCGAACCACACCCATCATTAAAGTATGGAAAAGCAATGTAAGAAAAAGATGCACATCAAGTACATAACATATCATACACATAGTTATTATCAATTCTAGACAGTGGTGTGGAGTGGCCAGCTCCAAAACTGCTATAGTGAGATAGCACATGGCAAGATGACAGCTAATTTGAAGATTATAAATACAAGTTAAAAAATATAAGCTTGTATATAAATACTAAGAAAAAACAAAATCATAGACATTTATAATTAATAGCCAAAAGTCATTGTCTTAAGCTAAATGCATACAAGTCAATAACAACAGAAGTCAAGGAATAAAAAAAATAGAGAACAGGGAAAAATATAATAAGTAAAGGGAATAGAAGTGAAATGAAAGACCTGTGTCCATCTGTCGGAGAGAATAGTGGGATAGAAAGGGTGTTCTGTAGGAAAGAGAACAGAACAGAAGGAAGAACAGGACAAGGACTTGCGCAAAAAGTCAGAAACAACACCAAAACTGACACCGGTTCTATGGGTTTGGTAAAAATGAACATGTTTGCCAGAAACTGAGGTGCTCTCCATTCTCAATTTCTCATGACAAACAGATTGGGTATTGTAACATAAACCCTATCACTCAAATAAAGACTGAAATAGCAAACCACCAAGTAAATTTTTGGTACTCCTGTAGTAACTACTCTACTTTGAGGTTACTTTTCATTACTCAGTAACTTTTTCTTTTCACTTTTAAGTTTAAAAAATTTAAATAAGAGAAGAAAATAACCGAGAGAGAGAGAGAGAGAGAGAGAGTTGCTAGTTTAAGGGATGGAGTATGTATGTACCAAAGGAGAATTGAAAACAAATTCCAAACCACACCCATACCCAAAGAAAAAAAGGATCAGTGTCCCAGAAAAAGGGTTAAAGAGAAGATTGTCCCTGTTAACAGTAGTGACTGCAATGACCGCAAATTCTGGGATAGTGGCTGCTGCTATTTGCTGCCACAACTCCCACTAAACAAAAAATGCTCAGCTCCAAAGTATGAAATAGCGAAAAAAGGCCGGACCACTATGCCACTACAGTGTGCTATTAGCATCTATGATCCTACATTATTTCAATTAACAGAATTGTGAACAATTACTTGCTATTGCATACCCACAAAAACATGGCACATAAGCATCCGATATGCCTATAGTTGGCTCACACACACAAAAAATGTTCACTTTGCTCAGTTATCTAAGCTTGAGTCTAAACAATTTGTACGGGATCATATGAAACAGGTGACCTATTAGTATTAGAACGGAGTGAGCTCTTGTCCAGAATATATGAATATATCAACTAAAAGAAACTCATATATGTCAAACCAATTACTAAGCTTTTTTAGCATGAAATATTTTACAATAAACTAAGAGGAACCTAACCCACACCACTGCATGCGACTGTCTTATATAAGACAAACTAGTAATGGTAGTAAATATTTTTTCTCAACCAAATCAATTGTAACAGATGGCAAAAACATGTAAATGAAAACATGACGTGGGTGAGAAGATCAGTAGTGCATGAAAAAGCTACTCCAAGAACGTTTCTTAGAATCTATATAAACCTATGATCCCAGCAAGATTGTTATGAAATACAACAAAGAAACAAAATCCCAAGTTCATCTTATATTCAGGTTCCCGAGGTATAAACTTCAAACATTTCCAAATCCTTGTTCCATATCCAAAATGCCCAAAGTCAAATGGAGCTTTACTATTAAATAATCCACTCAGGGTATAGTGAACCCAATTTCACCATTGAATGTCCCTTGAACCCATCAAACATCTTCGCAATAGAAGGGGAGAGAACATTCTTAACAGACATTATTGGGCTATGGGTTCAGACCAAACACTTTGTTAGTTGGCTAATTGTTAACACTTAAAAGCCAAAATGCAATCTAACAATTAACAATGCCAAACAGGGTTATAGATTTATATTACAAAGCGTTACCTCAACAAGGACCAGAAAATTAAAAGTATTTATATTAACCTAGTTATCTATATCATAATAACTGTTCTATTTTAATAAAAGAAGGCACACTTACTTTCAATTGATGCAAATCGAATGCAAAAAAGCTCGTCCTTCAATTCTCCATCGGCAAAGTCCCTCGCGTGCCATACGCAAGATTTTTCGTTCCCAGCATGTTCTTGCACACTCATCGACGACACAACTGCGAAACAAAAATAATCAAAATTGAAAATTCAAATTAACAAAAATAAAGAAAGAAGGAAGATGAGAGCAACACTCACTGAGATGATTGGCGCAGATCTTAAGTGTCTTCGATTGCCTCATGAGAAGTCTAACCTTCCCTGAAACTTTGTGCTTCAAGAACTTCACAGTTCCCGCGCCCCGCTCCTTCCACTGGTTCCCGTCCTTCTCGAAACGATACAGTTTCGCTTTGCTACAAACGAATAGAGCCAAAACCCTAAATTTCAGCCAACGAAATCGAGGAAGAGAGGGAGGGAGGGAGGGAGGGAGAGAGAGAGAGAGAGAGAGGAGATAGACTCACAGGTCGAGAATAGGTTCTTCATCCTCTTCGCCGGTGGAGACGGCGACCTCTTCGAGCTTGACTATCGGAGCGACCTGAGCTCCGGTGTCCTCGTCCTCGCCGGCGGGAGCCTCCTCCTCTTCGCGGTGTTCGGCGTCGGTGCTCGACATCTTTGTTACTTGGAATGTGTGTGAACTCGAAGAGAGAGAGAGAGAGAGAGAGAGAGTAGCTGCTAGGGTTTAGGTTATAAATAAATGAAAAGGGGACACGACTCAGAGAGCAGTGCATGCTTGTATATAGCGATGAAGTGCTGAAAGAATACGCAGTCTTTTTGCCACCCCGCTTGATGAATGCCACGTATGAGTAATATCTTTCTCTATATAACGTATGGTTGAGATTTGTTTCTGTTTCTCACCCATAAAATACGTGTCATTTAATAAGAAATCAACCATCTTCTTAACTCTTAAGCAATCCAATTAGAAAATTAATTAAAGAATTAATAAATAATATTTAAAATTTTTATAAGATACTTCAATTGAATTTTAAATATTACAATTTTTTAATATAAGTCACATAATAAAAATTTATATATAATAAAATTTTATTAAAACATTAAAATAGTTGTATAAAGTAATACAAAATTAAAATTTATATATATTCTTTGTCTTAATTTATAAGTTAACAAAATTTGATGACTAAAAAACAGTTGTGAAGTAGAGAGATTATGAATTTGTTTGTGTATGCTTTTGTTTTTTTTAACTATTTTCTAAAATAAATTTAAAGAGTTATTATTTTAGAGAAAACAAAAAAAGCTATTTGGTGATGCTAATTTAAAAATAGTTTTAGAGAGAAAAAAACAATAAAATTTGTTGGGTAAAATTAGTTGACATACTGTATCAATATATTTTTGGTTCATTAACAAAATTAAAGGTAAAAAATGAAGTAAGATTTTTAAAATAAATTCTATGTAATAAAAATATGATATTGTTGAAATTTAACAGTTAGAAGTGATTATACATTGTTAAATAGTTATTGAGAGTGAAACTAAAAATAAATAATTATGAATAATAACTAAGTTTAAATAGGAAAGGATGAAGAGAAATATTTAATTTGAGATGGGTTCTTTCTTAAAGTTATATCAATCGTGGATAGAAGTGTCAAATGGGCTAGTATTAATTAATTTAGCCCTAACTCATATGGGTCAGGGTCAAAAGGCTCATTGGGCCAAAAAGCCTGCAATATGAAAAAGTTTATAAAGCTAAAAAATTATAGGATTAAGTGAGTTAGGACTAACCTATGAACTAACTAATTTTAAAAAAATTATTATTATAAAATTTGTCATTTTTTATTTTTTTATATTATTATATTTTATTTATTTATTTTTATAAAAGTATCTTAAGAACATCACATATTCAATAAATATTTTTAAAGTCACAATAGAGATACAAAATTAATCACAAAAAATAATATTACTTAAATTTATTAAGTTATTTGTTATCAAATTATCAAAATATTTGAAATAATTTATTTAAATAAAATTTAATGTGTCAAAAAAATATAAATATAATATTATCATCGTAAAAATTATAGACATGTGATATTTAATATTACTAAACTCATGAATGCAGAAAAGTAATTATGAACTTAACAAAAATTAATGAATGTTTAAAATTTTAAATTTTTATTTATCTTAATTTAATATAATTTTTTTTAATATGAAATAATTTGATCAAACAGAATTGATAAAAAATATTTTTTAAAATACATTTTTATATTTAAAATATAATTTTAAATAAAATAATTTAATAAAATTAATAAACAAACACATGTGTCTTTTATTAAAAAATATTTATTAATTATTATATAAAATTATTTTAAAAAAATCATGTGTTCAATAAATTTTTTAGTTACATATAAACATAAAACTGACAATAAAAAAAATAACAATAGCTAAATTTGTTAAGTGATATATTATGAAAATGCCTGAAATAATTTATTTAAATAAAATTTAATGTGTTAAAAAATAAATACAATATTCTCATCATAAAAATTATAGACAAATGATACTTAATATTGTAATATTAATTGATGCAGAAAAGTAACTTGAAAACTTAGCAAATATTAATAAATATTTGTAATTTTAAATTTTTATTGATCTAAATAGTATAATATTTATTAATTATTTTTTAAAAAGTGTGAGTCAACCCACCTTTAACCTTAACCTTAACCTACATTTTGTTTATATATTAGGGCTTAGGGTCAGAGTAAGCCCACTATGTATGGGGCTTGAAAAAATTACGGGTATAGATTGGGTTGTGTGAGGGATCTTGTGAGCTTGAGGCCAAATTGACACATCTAATTGCAGGTTTTCGAGTTTCTTTGTGTTTAAGTTCTTTTCTATGCAAACCTCTTCTATTGTAAATCTTAATATTTATCACCAATTACAATTTTGCAATTAATCGAAAGACTTCTTATTTTATTTTATTTTATTTCCACATATGGGTTGGCTTTTTTTTTTTCAAAATAAGATTAAATTAAAAATAAATTATTAAAATAAGTCAAAGTAATTGGTAGCAAAATATAGAATAATTCCAATAAAACTAGGTGCAAGGCCTCCATGAAGTTTTGCAAGACCTCTTTTATGTATGTACCTAAATAGTTAGTTGAGTCTTGAGTAATTCAAGAGAATATGTATATAAAGCCATAACTTTGCGACCATTTATCCATTGATCTATAAAACTCGACATTGATGTGGCAAAAAAATACTCAACTAATAGCATCTTCTTCTGAAAATACTAGCTACTCTTAGCATGATATTGGAGAATCTTATTGTTAGTCTCCAAACAAACATGAAATGTATGTTTGCATATTTGTTTATAGGTCAAATCTAACATGTAATTATTAGAATAATTGTTGAAGAGTCAAATGATAGATATGCAAGCATGATAACTTTTAAGAGAGGAAAAATATTTCATAAATACCTTATTTTAATAATTTATTTTTAATTTAACCTTATTTTAGAAAAAAATAAAAAACCCCTATTGATTATATTTGTTTTTTAGTTCTAAAAACATAAAAATACAAAACAATTTTGAAAATAGAATATTCTAACATAGATAATTAATTTTAGATTTTAGAAAATATAAACTATTTTTAAAAAATATGCTAATTGCTTTTTTGTCTTTTAGAATATATGCATGAGTTTTAAATAACGTAAAGAAATTTTTTTATTTTAAAAGTAATGTAATGGCAACTTGGTCATTTAAGTAAAAAATAATTGAAGAGATTGTTCTTATTGAATGAGATTAGTTTATATGATGCCCTTGTATACAAAGTTTGATGTTACATTTGTTAAAAAATAATTAAATAATAAATAATGTCGATAATTTATTTGTTACGAGAAATGTGGTGAAATGTAATTCTTAAGATTAATCTTATTGTTAGGGATAGAAATAGGCCAACCTATCTAATAGGAGCATATAGCCTAACCTTTTTAAGGCTTAATTTGGCTTAAACTATTTAAGTAATAAGCGTAATTTAAATTTTTTAAAAGACTTAATTAATTAAATAGGTTATGCTTGAGTTTAAGAAAAAGTCTATTATGTTTATTATAATTATATATTTAAAATTTATAATAATATATTAAATAATTTTATATCAAAATAATAAATATAATAGTATATTAAATAAATTAAATTTTAAAAATAAATAAAATTTTAAATTTTAATATTTTTCGTTGGAGTTGAAGAGTATCTTTACTATATACTTTTTAAGAGAGAATCATACTTGCTGGAGTCTTGTATTACTATTGTTTGATATGTCCTATATTCATAATGTGATTTTGCATTTACACTATATTAAGTACATATTTTGATGAAATAGAAATATGTAATTTTATTATACATATTTGAAGTGTAGAATCATTTTTATAGCTTATTTAGGTATAAATTGTATGACTTTTATAAAAACATACCTATTTAGATAATTTAATAACATATTTACAAATAATCTTAATAACCTATTGAAAGTCTCGATAAAAAATAGATCATTAAAAAGACTAACAGGTCAAAGTAAGCTTTTAAAAAAAGTAAGTCGAGCTTAATAAAAAAACTTATAATAAATAATATGTTATATTTAATAAAAAATATATAACAGTTTAACAGATAACATGTCAGGTTTATGCTTCAAACTTATCAAATAGGTATGTCTATTTATGCAAAGTCTAATCTATTTTAGTCTATTTTTATATCTACTCGCTTTAAATGAAATTTAAATTTAATTCAAAATATTTAGTTTTAGAATAGAGAATTGAATTGGTAATTAAGGAGCCAACATCCACATTATCGTAATAAATAATAGATGAAAGAGAAGTGGATAGATAAAGCCCTACCAAAAGCGATCTGAACAAAGTTCATTTAAAAATAACGGCAGATAAACTTTTGTATTTGACTTTAGTATTAGGAAAAAAAAAATCATAAATTACTTCATAGAAGCCTAAGAAACAAAATTTGACTCCAAGATAGATGAATCAATTAATAGTAGATTTGTGATCATCAACGTCAAAACTCAAATATGCATGAAAAAGGTACATTTTAGTCTACTGTTTCATATTAATATTTCAAAAGTAACACTATGACACTTTGATGTCCTATAAACACTTACATAAGTTTTTTTTTTTTTCGGATAAAATACGACGAACTTATATTAATAAAATATAATATAATACATTTATTAAATATACTAAATGTTGTCATTAAATATACTATATTTATTAAATATTAAATGTAATAAATAATTAATTTAAGTAATATTATCAAAAACATATTTCTTAAATATAAAAAATGTTTATTAAATATTTGCCTTTTCATGTTAATAAAATAATAAATAAATTAAATATTTTTTAAATTTATAAGTTTGATATTCTTATTTATATTTTTTAAACTAATTCCTAAATTAACAAAATATATTTACTATAAATAGTTTTTCAGCACTTTGATATACTTATTTAAGTTTGATGCTTAGTATCAACAGATTTTTTGCACTTTCTCCTATTCAATAAATTTATATAACTTATGATTTATTATTTAATTAATTTATAATTGTATATCATAATAATTATTTGAGACAAAAGTTTTCAAAATTAAATAAAGTAATAGTGTAAAAAATCAATCTTTATTTTTGTATAGTTTAATAGTATATAACACATTAATTTTATCATATATAAATAAGATATAAAATTATTTTAAATGAATCTAAAATTTAAGAAA